CCCCTCCACCCCATCCCATTCCCCAAGTAGGTCTCTCTCTTAAACCCTCGGTATATTACTTATTTACCGAGCGGTTGAGAGAAGTACAGGAGTCCAAAGACGATATCCACAACGGATGCAAAACTTGAATCAAATAGAAAATATCCCAAAGATTAAGTGATCACATTTTGGCTCTAATGTCTTTTATTTTTCACGTCAAGACTTTTACGATAAGACTGTATCAATAAATGTTATCAGTGTGCTGATTTCATCTAATCTTGACATATCCAAGAGCTTATGACTCTTTTGATGTACGTACATGCACAATTCAACTACACCCGCCTATTGCCTATTCTAATGTTTAGTCCGAGATAATGTAATGATCCATAAATATCTTGATAGCTTCATTGGTTGTCGTCATGGAGATTGGGCATCATTTGCTCACATCTAAGCGACCTTGCGACTGCACACAAATCCTGTACGCTGTTCGTCGTTCGAGCCCTCTGTCATTAAAAAAATCGAATTAAAAAAAAGGCAAACTAGTAAAACAAGCTTAATACCTGTATGCAACACATTCCGTCCCTGTTCTATAGAGTCAAAGCGATCGCCTGATCAATTATATCCCTTTTCTTGTATTAGATATTTTATTCTGTACTAGTGCCAAAAACCGTTTTATCAGAACACTCTGCAATGGCGGGCACTAAGATAATGAGGACGGAAAGTCGAGCTAAATGAATCGAGAGCGCGGTTATATTCTCTTAGTTTTGCAACAAATTGAGTTACCCTGAAGGCCACAAGACTACCGCAACATTCATTAATATCATCAACATTTAAACAAATTTTTAAGCAAAGGGATTCTGGTAGTGATAGTATAAATGACGCCATAATATAAGTGATTCATCGTCATAGATTAAATTCTGAAATTTAAAAAAGCGGTTCTATGGGAAGAAAGTGAAATTAAGCTTTATTTCGAAAACAAAATCGTTTTTGATCTAATGGTTCTACAGCTACGCAGGTACCGCTCAAGCAGAAATTTGCTTCGATCGTAAAACTCTACAAAATAACTACTCTGTCAACGCAGGAGGTGGGTGTTTTTAAGAGTTGAAGTTTTCTTAGATAAGCCTCTAAGATATCATGAGAAAGTAGAATGCTGTAGAGCT